CTTTGTGTATATGAATTCTCGACGACCAGCAGCCTTCGGTCGAAGATCTTTCGCGGCAACGGCGTCCGTTTAATCTCGGCTTAATCCTCGATGTCAGCCGTGTCTGCTGCTTTGACAAGTATTTGCGAGAGAGAGAGAGAGAGCGAGAGAGAAAGAGAGTCGTTCTGTATAAAAGGGGAACGCGCGTTTACCTAGATTCCGGGCAAAACGCTCAGGCAAGGTTGTCCGCTGACGCGCGGAAAAACGGGCATGAAGAAAGCGTGTGTATAGGGTGGCGGTTGGGAACGATGTTCGCGAGTACTTGAATGTCTCATTTCGCGGAGGGGTTGGGGGTTGGGGGGAGAGCAGAATGGTGGCGTCGCGCCGGAACTTTATAAAGCGCGTCTTTGCATGTTTCACTCCGGGCACGCACGCTTTTATCGTCTCTACAACGCCGCCGGTAGCGAGCGGCACGATAACACGATCCAATTCGTCGTCACGACGCGACAACGTGTGCGTGTGTGTGGGATGTGTTATGTGCATGCATATACATGGGCATATGCGCGTGCACGCATACACGCGTTATGCATGCATGCATGCATGCATACCGGAAGAGCGTGCGGGCGTCCCGCGCGCGCGGCAGAACGATCGATCGCAAAAGTTACGTAATGAGTCTCCGCGTGTGCTAACTCTTGCCCGGAGACCGCCAAAATCTAGGTTATCAAGTTTTCGCCGGCAACCCACGTCGACACGTTCGATCAGGGCCGCAGCTACCTTCACCGAGAGATGAGTAAACGTTGAAAGCAAAGCGTTAAAAAAATAAAGTACTATCCACTTGATCTCTTAACGCGTGAAAAAAAATATATATATATTTATTCTCGGGGAAAACGATGGATTCGATACTTGAAAAGTTTTCCGTTGTTTTTTCTTCCCCTGCGAATCTAAGCGCAATGAAATTAATGCTTTCAGTTAGAAAAATTCTCTGGCACCGGTCCGCAACGGTAGTTCAATTGAACGACATCGTCGCCGAAAACGGCGACAAATCGAATAAAATTTCTTAATTCGCCCCCTCCCCCTCGGAATATTCGTGCGCGCGCGCGCGGCGCCAATTAAATTTCAGCATGGTAATTCAGGCGGGTGCACCGCCGGGGGAGATCCCGAAGATGACGCATCTCTCTGCGTCAGCGCGGCGGCGGCGTCGGGGTCGGCGGCGGCGGAGACCCGCTCCTCTCCGCTTCTCTCCGGCCCAGAAATGGCTTGGGTTCGATTAGCGCAACTGGGCAACCAACTTTGAAAATCCGTCGGGTGCGATAACTTCTCTCTTCTCTTCTCGAGCACGCGCGGCCGAAACTTCTCTCGTTTCCTTTTTTCTCTCCCGTTTCTTTCCCGCGTCGTGCATTAGAGTAATCACGGCGAGGAGAGGCGTAACGTCACGGCAAGCGAAACGGCTCTTTCTCTCTTAAAGCTCGCCTTATCGAATAACGGAGAAGTCGATGCGGTTATCCGAAACGTTTGCACGCGGTAGCCTCGCGGCAGCGAGGCTGTCGGTGGCATTTAATAATTCGTTCGCGGCGATATACAGATCGCAATCGGTCCTTCGAATCGCAGGGCGGGTTGAAAATTTTTTGCGGATTTATATTTCGCTCGCGTAATTTTTGAAAAGTTCAGCGAATATCCGGTGTTGCAATATATCGCATCTGCATTTATATGAAAATAAATGGAAGTAGTTATTACACTGGAAATTAAAGACAAAAAATTGTTTAATATTCATATGGAGAGCAATGCATACATGTGTGGGGGGTACGTGTGAGAGAAACATTTGCGTCAAAGAGATTTTTTACACAATTTTTCCGCGACATTTCTACATTTAATTTAACATACAATTACGTAATTATTATGATGGGCGTTCAAATGATATTTCATTATTTCGAAACTGCAGAACTTTCATTTTGGATACGCAATGAGATGTGGTTTATGTAAATCAAACGTTCCATGAATACGGGACTGATATATATCGTATATTATTCTCTTACCGCATTATAAATTAATTTACATAATAATATGCCATGCGATTCTGTTCAAAATTCGCCCTAGCTATTTTTTTCTTCGAAAAACCGTCGCCACGTGTTCAATTACGGTATTACGGTATTACGATTTCGGACGAGCGCGATGTACCGAGATGAAATGTGCGCGGGCGCTATATGTGTATATACGCTCCGCGTTTTATTATTACGTGTATATCCAAGTGTCTCATTATAAGCCATGAATAATGTAGCGCTTGGAAATACATCGCCAAATGGAATCGCCCGAATTTCCGGGGCAGAATAAAACACGTCGTATCCATGCTAATCGGCGTATTGCATTTTGCCGGTCAATTGCACCGACTAGACTAGCAGTTCAATTTAACGACGGCCGGGCAGCAAGAGACGACAGTGATAACATCCACGTCTCGTAATCGGGAACAACTGCCGGAACATATGCGTCACGCACGGTGCCGATTAAATTGCGCGTCCTCTAAACGGGCGTAACGAGCGGTGTACAGCCCGTCGCGCATTCCCACGGGAATGTTTTCATTCATCGCCGATCGGCCGGGGGGATAGCGATCCTCTCTTTGATTCATATCGCGCGCGGCGGCGCGACGATAAGATCCGTAAATGAAAGCGCGATAAACCGCGAAGGGATTGCTGTGGCACGTCTGTTATCGCCGAGAGCAGCGAGTCGTAAACTTCCACAATCGTACTGGGAACTCGAGGATGCGATTCGCACGATTCTCGTGAGCGGAGAGAAGCGCCCGACTATACCGGTCAAAGAAACAAATCTCTTGGCATTCGATCTCGTTGCGGTTGATATGCATTTCTACGTGCGCAAAGCGGTAGATATAGAGTTACGAGATAACCGTAGTATTATCGTGCCCCGTACAGAATCGGACAGTTAATTTTATAATCACGTATACATACTTGTATAGTTTCAATTAGTTTGCGTTTCACATTTTATTACATTTATATAAACGCGAACTACGCAGACCGCATACCACATATTCAAAATTTCTACACTTGTTCGTGGGGGGGAAAGCGTCGAAATATCGCGCCTTGATGAATTTTGTATATACCTAGCTCGTTTAGGCGGTTCTAGGAAAACTTATGTCTTGTGGTTTAACTATTTAATGTTATACACCTCCCTTACATTTACATAATGTTCAGTATGCAAAATACTATTTGATATTTTCACGCCAGTAAAGCGAAATTTTATACTGCAACGGAGGTAATTTAATTCACTGGAACGAAAGAAAATAGTAACTTGGTGCTTATAAATTACAAAATTTTTAGTCGCAACATTCTCTCTCCTTCTCTTCCCCCTCCCCCCTCTCTCTCTATCTCTCTCTTTGCGAGAAGAGGAAATCTGTAATATCCTAGTTAACATTTGGTTGATAGAGGTAATATAACATCTGACGTGAGTTCGTATTCAAGAGAGTTTGCGTTAAAAGCGCGTATTTTATAGTGCTCCTAATGTACAGCCGGAAAGATGGATGCGGTTGTCGGAAATTCCGAGGAAAACTGTTCCGAACCCCACTGACTTTTAATTCCATTTCCCCCGCAAACATCTTCTGTTTCCAACAAACAACTGAATAATCGATAGTTACCGCGGCCCCTGCTCCGACGGATGTTGAATTTTAATAACATCGGTTCTCTCAAATCCAGCGAATGAATAGGCATCAGGACTCTTTGTCGAGTGAATAGTATTGTAAAGACAGTCGACACGTACAGGCGGGAGAAAGGGATTCTCCTAGCCGTTGCACGGTGATACGACGAGGCGAAATCGGCGTTGTCAGGCGTCAGGAAAATCGAGAAAGTCAGGAGGAAACCAAGAAGAGTCATGGGATATCAGGGCAAGTCCGAAAAATTTCGCGAGACTTTCGCAAGTTGGATGGGGAAGATTAATTGACAGCAATAGAATGACAATATCGGCTTTAATATTATTCGAATCATTATTGAGAGAGAAAATTACGTCTGTGTTTAAAAGAGCATAACGATAGAAACAATGGCTCTTTTCATTGGTCGCTATACATCTCGGTTGCTTCATTTTTCCTTCTTTCTTTATTTCAATTTTGGCACGCCCTTCGCGAGATGTTGCGATTGCACTTAAAACCTTACCTCGCGCGTATGATTGGAGTTCGAAAAAATTAGAGAGACTCGAGAAAATCTTGCAATTGTAGCAACTTCGGCGGAGCGATACGCCACGCGACACCCGTTAGACTATCGCCGAGGAGAATGACATAAGACATCCCCGTTCTGACTCGGGCGCCATATGACCGTCTCTGTCGCAAGCTCCGTCCCCGCTCCGGGTACAAGAGGGTGAAGGGAGGGGGGGCCTTCCTTCTGGCCCCCTCTTACACCCGCGCTGCTATCCTCTACATTCTACTACCGTCATTCCTTGCCTTCTCGTCTCACCGGTCTGCCACCTACCACCACCCCCGCATCCCCACCACGCCGGCATCGGCGCACAACCACCACCGCAACCATCACCACCACTATCGCGCTCTCCGACCAACACATCGTCACCATCGCCGGCCCGAGAGAGCCGTTGCTGGAAGCGAGACGCGACGATGAAGGAGAAGAAAGAAGTTCAGAACGAAAGAGAGACGGAGCGAGGCGGGGGAGATTACGTGGGAAGGAGAAAAAGAGGGGACAAAGAAGCCAAGAGTAACCCGAGGAGAGATGAGCAAGATGGAGGAACAAGGAGGCCACGTATGAGGACGGAGTGATGAGGAGACGAAAGGAGAGAGACGGAGAGGGAGACCGAGAAAGAGAGAGAGAGAGAGATAGAGAGAGAGAGAGCGAGCGAGGGAGGGGGGCAACCAGGCACAAGCATAGCGTAGCATGGGCACAGCATATCCATAGACATATACACTGTGTCTATGGGCATATCGACGAGATCCGACAGCGGCCGAGCGCCACCGAACACGGCCGACTCGGACCCTGCGCGCTCAACCCAAACCCGAGAAAGCATAGTTGCATTTAAACTGCCATCCTACTCAGGAGGTCTCTCTCTTCCTGAGTCCCGAGCGACCTCGGGGACGAAATACGTACGTTACGGGTACGTAAGTCGCCGCGCACCCCGGTGTGTGTTAACCGTTTTACGTTGCGTCCGTGCTCCGTTTTTCATGTAACAAAAAAAAAGAAAGGGGAAAGGAGGAGAGCCAGGACCCAGAACGCGCGCGGTCCCGGCGGAGCAAGAGCGGTCCGGGGGTTGACCCGGTCGCGCACAGGACACCCGGTTCGGTCTGACGTCAGGAGCGCTTTAACTTGTTGGATTCGACGCGAGTGCGACGCGAAAGTGAGCCGGTCCGTGAACGGCTACGACCCGATTCAACCTCGGGGATCGTGGTGAAGGTGCTGGACAGGACAGAACGGACGGACGGACGGACGGACGTACGGATGATGCCCCCCTCGCTTTCGGACCTGTCGCGACGCGACGGTGGGGACAGGGGAGGAAGGGGGCACTCGCTTTCCGGTACCGCGACGCGGTCACCTTGTCACGCGTTTTCCGCTGGTTCCGTCGCCGGTTCACGTCGGTTCGCCTCGTCATCCGCTTTGTCGGCACTACTGTCACCGTCACTGCGCGCTCGGTTCGGTCGTTCCCCCGCGCGTTCCCCCGTGCGACGGACTCCCCCGGGTTCCTCGCTTCGCTTCGTGACGCTGTCGCTGTCGCCTCGGTCACTGACAGCCAGCTGCGATCTTCCCCGCGGTGTTAACGCGAGATCTCTCGCACTCGTGTAAAAAAAAATTGAGCTAGACGGTGTCGCAATGATTCTGAGGCGAATAGTGCATGTATTTCTTCATTTATTAGCTCCGTTTTCATCCCCTTTTTTTGGCACTAGACCCACTTCTTTATAGTTTGCGTTTCTGTTTAATTACGTCATCCGCGAAGAAGGAAAAAAGTGAACTTTTGAAATGCGTATCATTCTTCGTATTGTTAATGTTGAATCGCGGTATCTGCAAGTGTGTAATTCTCTAATGACGTGTGCGAGCACATTTTTTCTGGAGCATGAACGTATAATAACTTTAATGGACACTGTACACGTTTGTAATGCAGGAACGTATCTCGTTTTTCGACGAAACAAAACCCGCCTGTGCTTACGCGGATGCCAGTTATTTGTCAGTATCTTTAATCATCGTAAATTATATTATCATTGACGACAATGAGACGGCGCGCGGCGGACAGATATGGAGTTAGCTCGACTTGCACAGCCGCTGGCTGTTGCACGCACACAAGCGATGTTCTTAAATCGTTTCAAATACCGATAATTGTTCGCCGACATTGTTCGAGAACATTGATCCGGCTCTAACTCTCTCTCTCTCTCTCTCTCTTTCTCTCTCTCTCTGATCGTTCGGAAGATTTCGTGCGCGTCGATTTCGTGATGCTATGTACTGTCACAAATTCTGTGATTTGAAACTCCCGTGTTATCGCGCCAATAGAGTATCAGCCCTTGTCACTTCGGAATGAATACATGATTAAGCTTGAACCAGCGAGCTAAAGTTCGGTCTGTATCTGTGTTCTCGAATCCGGGACTAGATCCGGAACTCGCGGAGAGGGCATTCGTGCCTGTGCGGGGAAGTTTCCAGCGAGTCCATTCGAGGACGATGACGAGTGTTCCGCATTTTTGACGCGTAACGTAACGCAGGCCGATGGCGAGATTCGCGATAGCAAACGAGAGAAGTTACACGCGACGCGATTTATCTTCAGATCTTGAAACGCAACGGCAAATACACTTCTAAAGAGAAGAGTCTTACATGTTTTGACTGATCGAAAAACGGTGTATTTATCTCCCACATTAATTTCGAATAAAATTTTAGAAGGAAAGTTTCGAAGATTTAGATAATAGATTGATATTTAATTACATGGGATTGTTGTAGTATACGTAATGGAATTTTTTGAGTGTGCACATCTCTCTCGCGGCGATTTCTCTTGTCAGTAAATTACTTTCCGCGCTCGAACGCTTGTGCCAAAATATGCAACACGCTGTCACCGTACTGCGACGCGTGCAGCGAAAATATTTGCCTACCGAAATATTTGGACCTGTCGGAGCGATCGCGACGTGCACGCCAGCCAGCAATCCAGAGCGCTCTACGCTCTGGTGCGGTGGCACTCGAACTGCCGAATATATATCTAATATTTAATACTAGAGGCCTGTTAACGAGGAATATTCGTCATCATCACTCGGCGGCGTTAATCAATAAGATTTGCCCGCGGATAGATCGCGTACGAAAGCGCGGAAAATCCCGTCCGACCGGTGACACGTCCTCAAATTTCATTTCTGACGGGGGGCCGCCCAACAATAATTGTCAATCGCCACGTCCAAAATCAACCTGGTGGTAGTATCGACGAGAGATCCCCGCGTGTTACGTCTCTCGCAGAGACACGTATAGCGCGACACGCTCTCGTTGGGGCTATACGATCTTCCCAAAATTTTTTCGGCCGGCGATTAATCACCCCGGCCGGTTAACGTAATCAATCTCGATGTCAATGCGATTTCGTCTCTCGTCGGTTTTTTTCTTCTTCTCTCCGTTAGCTGTGTGTTAACGTCACCGGGTGAGAGTGTGCGCCCGTGTGGTGGAGGATGTTCTGGGAAATTCGTTTCGCGAAAGAGAATAGCCCGACCGGTGCCAGCGACTTCGGATCGAAGTTTGGAAACGCTTTGTTCCCGCTGAAAAAGGTGTTTGAAAGAGGGTTGCGCGGATCGATATATCGGCTTGACTCATCCCCTCTTCCCATACCCCCTCCCCTCTCTCTCTCTCTCTCTCTCCCTCTCTGTCCCCGGGATGATGTTCCTGCTAGATATCGGCGTGAACAAATATACGCTACGCGACGAGTATTCATTAATAACACGCAATTCTCGTTCAAGTGAGATTTTTGCACGACGCGAATTATTTTTCGATCGTCGAGGTCAAATTTTCAGGGATTGTTAAAATAAAAAGAGAGTAGGAATTAATGCCCGATAGTTTAAATCGACAGATGGAAAAATCTCGGTAGGTGGTAATTAAAACCGTTGCGCATTTTAAAACCGTGGGATCCCACGCGTAATTGAATTATTTAACGACGCGCTAATACGGCTCTTGTGCGTATCGTGTCGTACTTTGCATGTCAAATCGCGAATTTGTAATTAACGTAATGAAACGTGAAGCTAAGGAAGAAGTGTCGGGGAGAGAAACTAATGAATAGTGATTAGGAGCCTAACGTAAATTCACCTGCGACCCGGCGAAACAATCGGGCTCTCTGTGTCGTGGAAATTAAGCAAGATTTCCCAACGGCGCGTGGAAAACGCCGTTCCGAGTGAATCAGCGTGATGCAACGTTTCGTAACTGCGAAGTCTACCGCGGGGCTCTCTCGCGAAATTATCCTCGCCGCGCTCGTTTGTATCTCGTGTTATCGAATTACCGCCGTAATCCCTTTGACACTCTCGCACCAAAAATTTCCGTGCCCCTCCCCCCCCTCTCTCTCTCTCTCTCTCTTTCGCAAAGCACCGTTGGCGGCTCCGTTGGCGAAGTAAAAGCGTTGCTGATGTAACGCCGCCCGCCGTTACTTGTTGCGTCTAAAACTTCACGAACCGAAATCTCCCTCTTGCGCCTCGTAAATTTGCAATAACCCGCGGAATTAGCGAGTGTCCCACGTCGATGTCGCGCGATACCGGCCGTAATTGCGCGCGCGAAACTCGCCGGGATTAGACTACGGCGCTACTAATTGATGCGCGCATCAATTCGAGGGGCAAAAACACGGTCGCGGCACTTTGCACTAAACATCAGAACATAGTTAGACATATTGGAGCGAGCGGAAGTAATTTACGGTGCACGCGACGAGTGGTTAAATTTCGTGTTGTAATCAACCTCGATTTACTTACAGCGCGAATATCCGGGCATCGAGCAGTCTTCTCGAAGCATTTTTGCTTTGCTATACTCGCGGCTCCCACTTTCTTGAATATTTTCGTGCACGGTTTTCTTTTGATAATACAACTTTCCCGATATAATGGATGGGATACCGAGGCTTTGAAATGAGGACGAGTAATATTATTCTGGGAATTGTAGAGGGAAGTAGAGGGAAGGAAACGCTATGCGTATACAAATGTACGACACTCATCCTCGCGGACCGGTGATGTGGCATGGGTTGTCCTCGTTCTAGATTTATTATTGCTGTAACAAACGGTGCTGTGCTTTCCCTTTGAGGTCTTTATTATCAAGTAAGAAAAGCACTTGAAGACACGGTTATTGAAACTTGCGACGAGCCGATGGGAACAAATTTACTGAATTACTTTCAGGCACAAAATGCCCTTTGAAGTTTAAATCCTCTTTATTTCGGACGGGAAAGAAGCTTACAGAAATTTATATACATCAAGCTACTAATTACAACAACGGCGACATTTATTCAACGTGGCTCTTAGCGTCTCCCATTGAGAAACTGTGCTCTCGTTTCTCTTTTACCTCTGTAATCGTATAATCGCAGGTCTCCCAAAAAATTTCTATTATCCCCCGTCGCGATTCCTCGTCGAAAGTTCCGCCGCGATTATCGCGCGCGGCTACTCCTTTCGTCCACTCATTGCGTCATCCGGTGTTAACGGAAGTGTAACGTCAACCTATACCATATTATAAGCGTAATTATTTGCAAAAGTGTGCGCACGGTGACGGCGCCTATCTCGCCGGTCGCGGCATGGCACATCGAGATCGTTGCGCAACATCCGACGTTCGGGTACACGCGAGAGCGAGCGGTAACGCGCTTTTCGCGCGGCGCGGCGCGGCGCGTACATGCGCCGGCATGTAGTTCGTCTCCGGCAATCGATAGACCTGAGTGACCGAGGAAATTCGCGAACCGAGCCGAAATTTCCATCCACGTCGGAAGCGTCGCGATGTTTGCTGCCGGAGGAGGAAGCCGGTCTATCGATCCCGCCTCGACCCAAAAAGGTAAGTAGGCGAGCGCGCCATGGTTACCATTATCTTTAAATCGCGCCTCCGACTTTCAATTTGTCGCGATAAGTCCTGGGTTACACGTTACGGGCTATACCCGGCGACAAAAGTGGCGACGTTCAACGAAATCGAGGTGAAAAGTCTGTACAAGTAGGGGGGGGGGGCCTATTATCTCTCAATTATAAATCACCCGAGCATTCCAGTGACAATGTCTATATGCACAATTTCCGTTCGAATTTTCACTCGCGAAGTATGCGTGATATCGCCATCTATTTATCTCAGATACAATATTCTGTATTTCGGAGATTTGAATTCGGGTCAATGCAAAAGGTATATGTTGCTATGCAACAGAGTCTTTCGGATGCCCGGGGAACGCGAGAGGGCGTTTTGGAAAAGATTTGCATGAGGATGGAAGGGAGTAGCGCGGCTCGCGAATTGAATTGGATTAAATTGAATTTGTTTCCGGAAAAAAAGGAAGATTTAAGGCGTTGAACGCAGAGTCCTGGCGGGCCCTTGGAATTAATGCAAATTAACCGCCGCGCCGCCGCGCGCACGCGGCCGCGACGTCCGAAAAATACACGCTAAAGGCTTATGCACACCGTACATACAATACTCGCGCGACCGCACGAGTGCGACTGCAGCCTAATTAACGCAGTTGCACTCTGTGGCACTTTCCGCATGAAGAACACGTGTTACACCATTAATTATTAATTAGCGCCGCAATATGGAAATTATAATACCATAACGCACATACATTATAATAATTAAAGCGTGCGATTTGTTGCTTGCTGGTTGAATCTTATAAGTTACGCTTAACCGCCGAACGCCGCCGCGCCGGAGCGAATTCCGGAAAGTTGTATCCTCGAAAAGTATCGCGGCCACGTGAATTATTGAGTGAGGAAAAACGTTATTTGCGGTAAATTACATTCTAAGCACGATGCAGGCCGAAGATTAAAATCCAGGTAAAAGCTGCGTTCCACCTTTATGAGCGTTGTTTATGCCGGCATAACTTTCCCGGGGTGTGCAACGTGCATAAATATCTCTGTTAAACTCAGGTTGCAAGATTAAAAACTTTTTCCCTTCCGCGCCGCCGGGCGGCCGCATAAAATTCTAGCAAATTTACAATTAAATTTCACAACTGTGATAATAAAGTAAACAACCGCCATCTTTGCATGCAAATTGGGAAACGCAGTTTTACGCGAGAGAGAGAGAGAGAAAAAAAAGCGCGATTATCAGCGCGCACCACGTCGTCCGCGCACCATCGCTCGGGACGTAACCCGTTTGCGCGATTGTCAGCGATAGAAGGAAAAAAATCTCCCGGGACGTCTCCAAGAATACTCGCAGGAGAGATCGATCTTTCGCCGTTCGGGATTATTTTGCAGCGCGCGCGGCCGCGCGAGCGCGTTGTCAGCTGCCGCGCAGCCGTTCGTAAAATAATAATTTCTCGAGATAAGGAAGGGAGGGAAAAGAGAGAAAATAGTCGCAGCCCGATCGATCTCTCTCTCTCTCTCCCTCCGCTGCTGCGCCGAGAGACTATTTCGCGTGGCGGGCACCGCTATCAGCTGCGTGCGCGAAATGTGGCAGGAATTCGAATCCACTGGTTCCCTTCGTGCTTCCTGCTCGCGGTCGGTCCACGAGTTACGACCAGCTAGCCGTTGCTTGCAGGGCCGCGAAACGAGAAGCGACAGCACCCCACGGGAAATTGTATCGACGCGCGCTGTACGGTCGCAAATCGATTTCTTCTCTCTCCGAGTTTTCGAGAAAGAAACGGGCGATTCGCGAGTCCTTTCTGGTCTCGCGAAAAGTACCCCGTGCAATAAAACTTACATTTTGAACGGGAAGATAAAATGCCAATGTCGTTCATCGTACATTTTATATTGTTGCCTTCAAAAATTGTTATCTTCACGTCGAGTTATATCAATTATTGAATGGGAATTGGTTTATATGGTTGTGATTTTGCACTTGTGGTTTGCACTTGGTGTGTGTTACGTAAAGATTTATATAAGTATCTTCTACATTTTGTAACATTACAAGCTCGCACCAAGCGTGTAAATTAAATTATGAAAATTTAAACACAAGACAAGCATCGATTGTTACGACGAGTCGGCTAATTGTAAACCATTTGGTATACATCGCGTAATATAATGCGAATCAGTTTTAATGGGGAATTACGCGATTCTCATGGTACCACGTGGTAAATAATGATACATGAATATTTAAGTGGATCGGCGAAATTATTATGAAAACAATAGGCATGCATAAATAGAAAAAGCCTTTAATTAATGTAGCGTCGATAATTAAACGAAAAAGTATTAATGTGCCAGATTTATTATAGTCGGCGTCATATTATAGTCGCACGTGGCCGCCTCGTTTTCATATTATTCAGGCAATTATTCGAGCTACAATTTCAACGAATAATTTGCATCTGCCACCGCATAGTTATTGCACCGCGGGAATGCAAAAATCGAACGGTTAGCCGCCGACGCATCGCTCTCCTCTGCCTGAACGCGACAAATCGCGTAATGGCTTTAAATTTTCGGTAACTTTAATTACGATTACCTTCATCGCATCCGCGTGGCCCGGCACTAATTTGATGTAATTAAATTTTCTCTCCTTGTTTAAATGAAAAGACAACGAGTATTGTGCCTCGAATTTGGACGGGTAATTTATATCTTTATCAATTTATCGCGCTTTACTGTTAGGTTAAAATATATTTAAAGCAATTATTTTCTTATTTAAGTTCTCAAAATTTTTTAATTTGCATAAATTTGTATAAATGTTTTGTATTTAAATTTTAAATACATCCTCTACGATGATACGATTTTCGATTATGTTTGCTTCGAAGCAGATACAAAAGGCATCGGTATTCAAGATAAGCATTATTGGCAATGTAATCAGAGTTTCTGCGCTCGTGGGTTAATCGAAGCTAATAGAAATTAGCGATCGGCAAGAGATACTATCGGAGAATCGTAGACATTTCCGTCCAGACTGTGCAGGTCCGTGCATTTGGGCTTATCCATGCCTAAGTATATGGGCGCGCGTGCGCGGCCGAATCGGGGCTGGGAGGCATTATGCCAGGCAGCCGGGGCTAGCACGCTTTGTCATTATTCGTGAGAACCCTATCAATTCGACTGGAAGATTGAATAAGAAGAAAAACACGGTGCGATGAGGCGCGCGAAAGACGCGCGCTCAATAGAGCCGCAAACGCGCACACCCGCGCTCGCTCGCTCGCTCGCTCGCTCTCGGTACCTCTTCTCATTGTTATCGGACCCGACAAAAGATATTTGAAAAAGAGGAAGAGAAACACTGCCAATCTAAATTGAATCTCTTTCTCGCCCGGCCTCGTTCGCGTTTCCTCGACCTACCCGAGCGGCCCGGAGAGAGAGAGAGCGCGCGCGACTTCCACGACGACCTTCTATCTCGCGTACTGTCACGTATGTATGCATGACTGCCGCCATCCGAGCCGATTTTTCGTTCGCCTAATTCGGCCGGCTTTCATCAGGACGTTTAACCCGGCCGACGAGAGCCGTTATCGCGAACGGTGGAGTCACGTGAAATTAATCGAATCGAATTTCATAAGGTAATATGCACCGAAAACTGGATTCCATGGAAGCAGGTGAAAAGACCGTCTCTCGTTCGACCACGAGTGAAATTTTTCTATTTTATTTGAGGACGCGAATTTTATCGTAATTTAATGTCACGTGCCTTTTCTCTTTTTCGATTCAAGAGCGATTGACCGAAATTAAGAGAGAGAATTATTGATCACGCTTATACATTTTTATGAAAACTTTGTAAAAATACGCACGGATTTGCGAGCGTGAAATCCAGTAAGCGGCAGAACGTTAAAAATTTACAACGCGCGTTTGTCGAAGAGAAAAATATTTACATCGGGAAATGTCGGGCTGTGTGCATTATCGATTTACACAACTCAAATAACTGTGATACATCGCGCGATGCAAAATGCGAGCGAACTATTGGACTTTTTTTTGTCACTTTATTTATTAGCGGCATTTGTTAGTACGCAATCGGCGGCGCGGCGGTTAAATTTACACTGGCTATACTTTGATTCATGCAATTCCGTGCGCCACATATATTGAAACGAATACGGGACGGATTACGCGATACATTATCTATGACCGCGCGGTATCATTAAGCATTACCGATCAAATTCCATCGAGGAACTATATTTCACGCGTTATTATATATCAATATTGTCAATATTGGAACGTTTCAATCAGTTAATTGTTTATACGTATTTGGTAAACGGAGATGTTGCCGGATGGCCGGTTTTACTTATTCAATTTGCACAAACGATGCCACGCGGCGTGATCACCCAAATGATTACTAAAACATGGCGTCTCCATTGTCCGCTTATCGATTTGCAAAGATTCCGTGCTAAAACGGCGGACGCGATTATCCAGTGCCGAGCTCGTCTCGCTCACGTGGAGACAGAACGAATCTCGTGTGATGTATTCATATAAGCGCGGCGTTGGGAGAGGGAAAAGAAGTGTACACCGTGATCGATAAATGCTCCTCGTGCGAGAGAGTGGTGGACGAATCCGCGGAGAGAAAGGGGATGTAAGGAGGTTCTCTCCACGAGAGACGGCGAGCAGATAGACGAAGGAGCTAGACGGTAACGCAGTGAGGAAGATTGGCAATTTTCGCAAAATTAAGCGAATTGAATCGAATTATGTCGAGCCGATGACGTCAGACTTGTAACTCGCTGAATTGGCGAGAAATGTGGCTCTCTTCGTCCTTCTCTCTGTCTTTCTCTTCCTTCCCCCCTCTTTCTCTCTCTATCTCTCTCTCGCTCGCTCTCTCACTCTCTCGCTTTCTCTTCCTTGACTTGTACCGTCGATGTCTTCAGTTCAGCCTACATTTATCATCCGCAAGAGGATATCCTCCGCAATTCTCCTGAATGGCGTGCGAATTTCGGTACTTATCGACGACGCGATTGATTCGCCATATGCGACACGATGGCCGTCGCGGCCAAGGCG